TAAACCAACTTTTGAACTTGTAGTATAATATAATGACTGGCCTGATAGCAGAAGATACCATTGTAATAATGTTTTAGTATAGGCTGCCTATGAGTTTCTAATTGTCTGTGGATCAATGCACCATGAATGCACTGTTAAAACTACAGACTACAATTGTTAAACGCTCTTTGTGATTTGGAAGGTACTTGGGTGATATCATGTTAGCATCCCTGGGTTTTTGTTTTGAGCACATTTCTTCCTGTGCTATAGACATGCAGCTCTATTTCCCCCTTAATACGGAGTTTTTCCTAATTCAGCCTACAGAACTTAATAGACATTAATCAGGATTACGCTAAAATGGCATTGCTTTAAAATGTCTTTCTATCACTAATGCCTAATATGTTATCTAATTGATGAGGAGAAGAAAGCAAGTTTCAGTAGAATGAGAACATTTTCTCCCAAGTAATTCTATCTGAATCTGGCATAATAGGAACTATATATCTTTAGGATTACTGCAAAAGACTATAGTAACCTTTTCTTTAAAATGTTCTTTGCATTTTCATGTGGTTTCACACTGCCAGTTCCTTGGACCTGATCCAAAATGCCAGAACTCTCCTTGTGTTTCCATCCTGGACTTAAGATAAATGGTTTCTTAGAGAAACCTTTCTTACAGATTCTAATTTTTTTCTTCCTCTAAGCTTCTGAAAAAGTCAGAGTGTGATTTTAAGTGAAATATAAAGACCATTAAGTTATTAACACTAATTCTCTTTTCTTAATAAGTCACAATGTCCAGGCTGTTGTTAGGATGAGGTTAAATGAAATTGTTTAAACTGTAACATGTTTACTACAGAAATACTTATTCTAGTTTTAACTTTGTATTATTAAAAAAAAACATTTTAGGATTTTTTTCAGCACACTGTGTTATTTTGGTTAAAATCTTATAATTCCCCAAAGAATTCTCAAAATACTCCTATGAATATGAACAAAGGAAGTGTTAGTGATGTTTTCAATTATTCTGCTCAGGGGAAAAGTTGAAACCTCTCTAGAAGAATGGGTTAGCCATCATAAATGGACTTCATGAATGCGGTTCCAGCCGTGAGAAACAGAGCCAAGAAGAAAAACACATTTCTTGGACTTAAAGACATTATCATGGAGCCTCTGAGCTGACAAAACCAGACATTTTTAAGGTGCTGGCAGAGTCCTTTCCCCACATATGGAGACTGGAATGTTGTTAGACTACAAAGACCTCACATTCTCATTTTCTTAAGGTGAAAAATTCATTGATTTCATCCCAGATTAAAAGAAAATGCTGGAGTTTTCTTGGATCAGTGATAGTATTGTATCAAAATAGATTATTTAAAAGTATGTCTTAAAGGCCCTAAGTAAAATATTGATTGTATTATATTTTCAATTCATGACAAGTGATTTGCTCCACAATAAAATTTATATTTTGTGACAATTTCATCAAGATATTTAGACCAATCCATTCCTCAGCCTCAGTACCCAGAGAAGAGCTGCTTGAATATGAGCGGCTTGATCTGTTTTGTCAAACCATGCTTAACATTGAAATAACAGCCCCTGAGATTCTCTTCCTTCCATTCTGGGAGAGATTTTTATTTTTCTAGGCAGTGGTGAGTCTGAAGTAGTGTTCTCCAGGCAGTCTCTCTCTCTCTTTTTTTAAATGTCTGTTCTCATAGGTTAATTAAGGAAATCCACTTGCAGAAAAATAGGCAACTTAGATGACAAATTAATTGCTGAGAAACTTCCAGAAAAAATGATAGAGTGAGGTAAGGTGCCAGAGACATTCCCTTCAAAGTGTCCAATGATGTTCATAAAATCATGTAAAAAAGGAAAAAAAAGCTTCAGCATGCACAATTAATAAAAAATAATTTAATGTATGTTGAAAACCATTAGACTTTTCTAAAAGTTTCTAGAGCAACGGCCCAAGATTCAGAGATAAGACATAGGAAATGTGAGTGAAACCAGAAAGGACACCATTAGGTCAGGACTCAACTTAAAGATAACAAGAGTCTCTCCTGAACTTGACTTTCGAAGGACTCCGTAGCCAGCCCTTACGTACAATTTCAAATGCACTTTCAGTATCTCTGCTTTTTATGAGAGAAACATGTGTGTTCAAGAGTTGAGGTAACATATTCTGAGGCATTCTCCTAGTGATGTTTTTACTAACCCAGGGCTTTCGTCAAAAAGCCAGCAGATCTTTCTCCTTTCATCAGGAGTGAATAAAACACATTTTATCTACATTCTGCGTGTTCAGTGTGCAGCAGAGAGCTGAAAAATTGATGCCAGAATCGCCCTAGTTCCAAAGCTGCTGAAGAAGGCAGAAAATCTGTCCACAGGAACTTGGCATTGGCCAAGGCCTTTGGATTCTTGAAATAAAGATGAAAGAGAGTTAGAAGATCCCTATAAACTTCAGCCAGGCTATCCAAGGTTAAGCTGAGCAAGGACTGATAACAAATGATGTTTAGCAGAGAGAGTCTGTGTTCTGATATTCCAAAGAGTTTCTACTTTGAAGTAAATGGCTCTCATTCAAACCCAACCCTGCCACTTATGGGCTGTATGAGGCGGACAAATTACTCAGTCTCTCCTTGAGCCTCAGGTTTAATATTGGTAGAATAGCAAATCTCTTAAGATTAGTGGCCAAGGGCAAAATAAATACATCTATAAAGGACCCAGTAAGATGCCTGGCACATAGTAGGCACTCAATCAATGTTTCTCTTAACATCTGTATAACCATTTTAACATATCTAATCGTGTTTGTTCAAACCCTCTCATCAATTTATTAAGCACATGTTCAAGATTAGCAGTGTTTAGACTGGTTTTGTAATTGCCAGCGGCAGATATAAATCTTCAAGTCCCATGCCCCATGGGGACTTTGGAGGAGGGATGATTGATAAATGCAACTTTCTTTGTTTGAGATAAATAGATTTCCTCTCCACCTTAAACTCTCACTTCTTTTAGGATGGAAACAGCCACTTCAGTGCTTTCTTTTGTATTGGAAAGAAAATTTGAGCAATACACGCTATTTCTCCATCGTTTCTCATTGGAAGAGGATTACTTTGGAGGTTTGGAGGATTACAGAGCATCTTGTCCTCAGGGGTTGCGTCTGATCATTGGTTTGAACTACTTTGTGACAATAGCTGCAGAAACACTTCGTCATTTGGTCTTTGGTATATGGCCTTTATCCACTAGGAAAGACCATTGCCACTCAGCTGGTTCTTATGTCCTGTCAGCAACACTCTGCCTCAGTGAGATGACATGAGTGACCGTTTAGACCCCTTCAACAACGTCATGAGGACGTGACTTGGGCTGTGTATCCCCAGCCACCTCTCTGAGACTTCCGCGCTGCCATCTCTGTTCCACCCATCAATGCCATGGGGGCTGGAGAACTCTGGGAAGCTTGCCAGTTCTCAAGGCAGCCAGACAGGAGGAGGTACACTCTTCCATCCCTAATCCCCAGAACTCTCCAGGGCTCTGGTTCTCCTCCTAAGGGAGGGGACTGGCTGCAACTCTCTTGATGCCCTTCCAAGCCTTCTTTCTCTTTGTTTAGCTTAACGTGTCTTTTTAATGCCTGGGCGTTGGTGACAGAATTGGGTCATGTGTTCTTTAAATTGTACTTAGACTTGAATGTGGCCCAAACATAAGAATTTGATGGTGGTAATAGTTCTACTTAATAAGATTTCCTTGGATAAAACCAAGGCCTCGTGTCTCTTGGATTTAAATGGAACAGGAATTATGAGCAGGGTTAAAAAAAAGAATTGGAGACAGGATGTGATATATGTATAGACTAATACTTCAAAATATTAGCCTTTTCTGTTTTTCTCATTAGAAAATAGACGAACTACGTATTGAACTAAGACAGCTGTGTTTCATCTCTCAGTACCTGGAAAGAGACAATCATTTGACACATTCATGCAAAGTCAAATGTCATTTTTCCATTTTTCTCTTATGACCAGATAACCAGACTGGCAACTAGATAACTACTAGAAACAATCAATTTCTAAAGGATTAATTTGGCAAGTAAGAGCTATAAACAAGATAAACATCATGTTGCCATGCATGTAAGACAATAATGTTCAAACAGCATGAATTCACATTTAAAAACCAATTGCATGGAGTGATTAGGACTT